CATGCCATCTCCAAGGTTCTACCATGTTCGTATGCTGTATCTTGGTCCAGTGTCCGGTTTTCTGAGAGGCGTTGGCGGATGCTACTGGACTGCATTCCACTGATGAAAGCATCTCGTATGGCGTTGTTTTGGCTTTGTTCAGCCGTGACGGCTACGAAGTTGCAGTCTTTTGCGAGTGATTTCAGCTTCTGCATAAGCTGATCAAGACTCTGACCTGTCTCCTGTTTACTGGTAGACAGTATGTGTCGAGCAAAAATCTCTTTCTTCGGTTTCACGTAAAGCTTCTTTAGAATCGTCATAGCGCATTGGAACGTTTCACTCTCAGCAATATACTCGTAAACGGTGGGAGAAGCGCATCCAATGAGGTGCTCCAGCTATTCGTCATCTGATTTCGCCGCTCTGGTGATAAACAAGGTGAATGTGTGAAGCCAATGATTCCAAACTTTCGCGGCTGAGGGACAACTTGGATCTGCGTCGAAACGTTCCGGTCGATAAGGCCGATCCATTGTTTAGATGAATAAATTGTTATGTACTGAATACGAGATGACAACAGTCGGTAGTTGCTCGAGAGAGAGAGAGAGAAGATTGAGAGCCCAGAGATGTAAGGCTTTATTCGTCTTAAAACTCTGGTGTGTAGGCTAAAACGTATAAAAGAGAAATGTTATGAATACAGTGATATGCAGTAGACAAAGGGTGTTGTACACGACAATTACATATGAAGTGATATACAGGAAAAGGGGTAAACCCCATAATCAATGATATACTGTATTCGGGAAGGTGTGTGGCGGAAGATTCAAGTAAGAATCAAGTTGGTAATCCTGCTTTTGAAAAGAGAAAGATGATAAGTACTTGGAAGCACAAATATGAGAAGAGTATTCCACGATTGCGCAGTCCTCGGGAAAAAAGAAGATTGAAAAACAGAAGTTAGACATCTGGGGACAGAAACCTGATAATGGTCACTACCCGCCTGAGTACGAGGTGGACGAGAAAAGGTCAATGGATGGGGAACCGTTGAAGCGAGTTCGGAAGAGCAGAAAAGAAAATAGTAACGACAGAAAAGAGATAATGAAGCAACAGCCCGACGATGCGAAAGCGACTGCAGGTTGGAAGTTTAAGACGGTTCGTCGATCAACCGGATGGCCTTACGTTGAAAAAGTGAGTGGGGAAATAAAAGTGGACCAACAGAGAAGAGAATTTATAGATAAACCTTGGAGAGAGAATTGGTGGAACGAAAGGGCAGCGATTCAAAAATCAATTAAACAGAATAAGGGAAACGGAGAGGAGATAAGTTTTAGAAGCATTGAAATACCAATGACTGGTAGAACCTTATGCGGAGATGAATCCGAGATTGGGGTTTTTTGCTCTGAGGAATCGGCCTACCTCCATTTAAGTAAGCCCATCAGTCAAGCAATTACCAAGTTGTTACCGTTACCTCATGCAAGCAATTTTATGGAGCCGAACGGGGCTGCTCTATGTCTATGGGGAACTGTTCTGTAGAAACATAATAGATTCCTGGGTGAAGATGATACCGTTACCGGTAACGCCAACACACCACACAAAGTAAATAGAATTATTAGTATTATTAAAATCCGTTCTGGGATTGACTGGTGGTGTTTTTCAATCGGTTTAAGTCGCTGGCACTCGAGTTCTGCGCCCTAAAATTGGAGAACCGGACCCTGCCTCCATCACAGCTTCCTGATATAGTGTCGTATTTATCCTGAATGAGTCATGATGCAATTCTCTCACGTAGGTCGCAGGGTCTAGTCTATCGGTTTTCGTAACCTAGTTGTAGGTCCACGTTGCTAGTTTTTCCTACTCTCATGAACATGTGAGATTCCTCCTATTCCGCCCATCAGGATACATACTCCAAAGTTTGACGACTAAAGTAAGCTATGAAGTTCCCTCTGTTCGATACGGTGACGTGTGTAATGAAAAGCTGACGTCAGCATCAACCAGGTATGTATCTGTAGGTCCTAGAGTACTGTATCGATTGGATACTTAAATTCATGCCTTCCTTAAGATGCTGTTTGTTTTCAATTTCGCTGCACGTAGAAGCTGAACTACTCCTTTTGAAAAATAAAAAGTAAACTCAAAATGCCAATTAGTCCTTTTAATTTCAAGCACATTTGACAAGACATCTACAGGTAGGGCTAGGTATAAAAAAGCCACACTACATATTATATATTTAATTGCACTTGTTATTGAGCTTGTTCTCCTTATTAATAACTATCATTGAATTTGTTCACAAAAGCCTTTGTATTTCTATGATAGCATCAAATCAGAAACATGGTTGAATTTGTGATGTTGATATTCAGGGGTTATCCTAACCCGTCTACAAAATGTCGACTTCTCATGTGTGTTTCAATCCATTTTCTTTTATATTGAATGCTGTTTTTACTCCTCAGGCATCATAGGAAAGAATAGCTTGGTAATTGTTTATATAATACTATTTTGAAATGATCACGAGCCTCTGTAAGATTTTACCCCACATGTAGACAGCAAATACGAATATGACGTCCATACGTGAGTTCCCTACTATGTAATCCTCCACTTTCGTGTTGGACGGACAAGCTCTGAGAAGTGGATTAACCGACGACATTATTAAAAACACCCGTGAATTTTCACCCAAGTTTTTACGCAAAAGATCTAAGGAGCGCTTCGTTTACGATATCACCATGGTCTGATTGAGAATTGTCGATATCCATGATGTCCATGGCGAATGTATTGCACGGTTTCACTTACTATCGGCGAAAACTAAGGAGGCGATAAAGTTTGGCAATTCACGGCTGGAAAGAAGACGAATAATATTGATGCTTGTACATCGAACACTGTTGGACCGGAGTAAATCGACATTTCCAGGAAGTATGAGATACATCAGTTCAACAACGTGATCGCAAGATGCTGAATTGTCTGAAAAGTATTGTCATCAAGATGGTTAAGAAATTGCATTGCCTCACCTACGTGGAGAAATTCTAGTCATTGGGACTCTACGCAGAACCTGAGCCATCAACGTCGCTCGCTGCTCACATTGTCGCCCAACATCCACCCTTGGAGACATCGTCTCAAGTTAGTGATTCCACAGTGTCGACTGGAATGCCGGCATCAATCTTTTGCGGTTAGAGTGTGCACCACTTGGAACGCCCTTCCATCTCACGTCATTTTTGCCCCAACTGTTAAATCTTTCAAGCAAAGACTTGAATAGACACTGGCACACATCACACAACTAAAAGCGTAACTTAGTTGAAGACTGCATTGTGTGTTAGCTCCCACCTGGAACTATATGTAACATTTATCATTTTTTGCCGAGAAATGATTCGATTGCGTAAATATTCTATGGAGGCAAGAGAAGTATAAGCTCGTAAGTAATTCCCATAATAAAACTTTGACTTTGAACAATGGTCATAAAAAGTTGAGAAAATAAAAACAAAATGGCCGTCTGGCTGTTCTAGTGTCATGAACAAGATCCGATTAATAAAAGCTTTCGGTGATCATTTACCAGAACAGCCGGAATACTCATTCATGCTCCTTAGAGCGAAATTAGTTTCGCTTTGACTGGTTTTGGATTAGTTGGTCGTATTGCCTGACGGAAGCATTTCACGAAACAGCTGCATACCGGACGGCTTTAATCAATGAGTGCAGTGTGAAATAACCGCTTAATAGAGTAAAAATAAAGATTTTAAAAATGGTAGTGGATGTATCCCCCAAAAGAAATTGTTTCATCGAAGCAATATCGCCGTGTATAAATTGAGCACATTACGCGACCTTCATACTTTATTGAAGTCAATAATCTCATCAAAACGAAAAAGACGAGCAACTGAACCTTACCTTCGATTACCATTTCAATTTGACTCTATCCACATCGGACTGAACACAACAAAGCTGCCCGCAGATCATGATACATTGAACCACCAACACATTTTGATTACAACGATCTAAGTAGGCCGTTCTTCATCAGCAGCCGCGTTTGTCAAGAGTGCCCTCTTTCGCCATTCCTGTTCCATTTCGCCGTAGACGAAATACTGGATGACGCCCTAAGTGGTCTCCAAAACGTAGGTATTAAATGGGCAGCTAGAGAAAAACTGCGATTTGGACTACGTCGATGACATCTTCTGCCTGTTTGAATGCACGGAGGACGCGCAAAGCACATTTGATAGATTAACAAGTGCGGTTGTTACATTCGGTATGTGCTTTGCACCTTGGAAGTGCAAAGTAATGGGCGTCGCCTACTCCCGCTCTGAAACTAAACGGCCAAGAATTAGTTATAATAAGTTGCTTTTCCCCTACTTGAAACGGTATGTGTGCAGAGTTCTATTGTGCACTCTCTGTGTGTTGACCATAGAGGTTTAACTTCTTCCCCCCTCCGTCAAAGTAGGTCCAATCCTTGTCCGCTTTAAATATAACCACCAATATTGTATGCATTACGAGTTTGGCAGCGATCAGCCAAGTTCCCTTCACTGTCTTTCACTGTAAGATGATTAATTGATTAAAATGTAGTCTAGCGAACAAGACTTTTTCCAGGGATTTGTCTACCCTAGCTAATACGCCACAGATTTTAAAACTAGAGTGCAAGAGGATAGTATTTGGTCATGCAAAAGCAAATAAACTTGAAAAACATTGTTTCCAGTTGGTTACATAGTCCGGATGCAAAGATTCGGATGAACGAGTGAGATTAAGGTTTGTGGCAGGCCCTCGGAGATAATGACCGCGCAAAGTTTGCGCACAGAAGAGTGGTGGGGGTGGGTCGGAATGCGAATTTTT